GGAACAAGGAGAAATAAAATAAGTTAATCAACAATAATAAAATAGAATTTCTACAAATAAAATAACCCCTACACTCCACAATGATCAAATAAAGATCTACTACTAAGATGTAACATTCAGGACCTTGTATGCACCTGACCACACAACCAGTATGTAACTCAATAAATGGGAGACATAGGAGAACTTCAAGTTCATGATTGTAGGGCAAATTTTCAATATACTACTCAAAAATTCACATAACAAGAATAGAAAAATGTGCATAGTTATAGAATATGTGAAAAACACAATGAATAAACTTGATCTATTATTCCTGCACTTAACACATAGAGAATATCCAACATTTAAAAGCACACATTTAACCATTTCAGAAATTCAATCTTGGCTTTAGAAAAAGTCACAATAGATACCAAAGAATCAGTTTCATAAACACTGCACTCTTTTTTCATAATCCAATTAAATAGCAATAAAAAATAATTTTTTAAAGATAGTAAAAATAAAACAATCATCCCATATCATTAAATACTAAAAGCACACGTCTAAATATCATGGATTAGAATGAAGTTCATAAGGGAAACTAAGTAATATTCTGAGATAAATATGAATGAGAATAATACATGTGAAAATTGTAGGATATATCTTAAGTGGTAAGAAATTGGAAATATACAATATTAGATGAATGCATGAACACGAAACACTGAAGACAGGAACTAGGCATTTATCTAAAAAAAAGAAGCTAGAAGAAGAACAATAGAATAAATCAAAATTAAGCATAAACAATTGGACTTAGAATTCTTAGAATGTGTTGCACTCTTCTGAATGATTCCTGGTTCTTCTATTACAAGGTAGGTCTCTGCTAACAAGTAGGAAGGCCATAAATTTTTACGTGGTGCTCATATATCCATCAATCTTGTTGAGCTCTATTAGATCTAACTGTTCATATATTCTCATGGATTTGTACATTGACATTTTATTTTCAATGTCAATTTTTGAAATTTAAAAGGAAGGAAAAATTGAAAAGGAAAAAAATGGAGATGATCCATAAACCACAAGTTTGTTCTCTGAAAACCTAGTTATAATAGGCAAACCTCTAGAAAGACTAGTCATGAAAAAAAGTGTGTGTAGGGGAGAGGGGGAAATAAGTTGTAGGAATGAAAAAGGGAAATTACCTACTGAAAGGGGAATGGGAAGAACCATGAGAATGTTATCAACAACTTTTACAAAAAAAAAATCTTAATAGAAAAGTATAGGCTGAATAAACAAGTTATGATTAAGGAAATATGATAGGTGGTTTGAAAATACATCTCTCCTATAGTCTTGAGCCCAAAGCTTTCCAAGCACACTTAGGTTTTATAGGCTTTAGTGAAATTTAAGTAACTGATAATCCCTATTTTGCATAAGCTGTTTCAATAGAAAAATAGCTATCTTCCTTTTATTCTTCGCAAGTTATGTAACTTCACCTAAACTGGACAGGAGCAACACACACATAGATTTCTAGGAATATAACTATGAAGTGTTATTAAAGGACATGAAAGAAGACTCACCTAAATTAAGTGATGGACTATTTTTATGTTTGGAGTGTCTCAATAGGCTAAAATGTCCATAAATTTCAAAATAACCTGAAATTTCAAACTTATGTCTCAAAGCCTCACTGGATTTTTTGATGGAGCACTGTCAAATTCATGTTGATAAGCAAAAATGTCAAGATGATTCTTTAAAAAATGACAAACAAAAACAAAACAGAAAAGGAAAAACATAAAATGAATAGTAGGTCTTGACTTGGGTAGGCTCTTTAAGAGGGGCTGGGGGCATCCTAGGCCTTGAGCTGCTAGAAAGTCTGCTAGTGTTTGTTCAAGTCTATATTGGCAAAGTGGAGAAGACTGCTCACTTTAGCTTGTCTAGAGTTAAGTGGTTATCGTATCTGCTGTTTTTTGGATTAACTGTTTAAGAGTTATCTCGAGATAATATCTTTAGTATAATGGTTTTTAGGTTAGGAATCCTGGAGCTAAACAGCCTGGGTGAGAATACTCTCTGCTATATATACATATATATAATTTTTTCTTTTGCCACGGGAGGTAATCAGGTTTACTTGTTTATTTACTTTTTAATGGAGGTATTAAGGATTGAACCCAGGACCTCGTGCATGCTAAGCATGCACTTTACCACTGAGCTATAACCTCTGCGATTTATTAGCTGAGTAACATTGGGTGAATTATTTTGAGATTTGGGTAACTCATATATCCAGATAAATTGGGATAACAATAGTTCACAGGTGTGTTATGAAAATTAAATCAGTTAACATCTAGAAAGCACTTAGAATTTTGGGTGTTTATTTACCATTATTTATTTATTTATTTTTAAATAAAAAAACTGGAAACAGGTCCGTGCTACCTGAGCTCGAGGCTGCATTATCTTTTGTGGGTCCTATGCACATCTGCCTTTCTGGATCCCTTCCTCATAAAAATAACAAAAATAATATAATTACTGAAGTTATATAAAAATCAAAGCATCAATATATTAGAATGTTTCCATCGACCTAAAAGTTTAGAAATTCAAGTATCTTAGTAAGCCTCTAAAAGTACTGTGGGGCCGTAGGCCCTGTGTCCACTATGCCTAATGGATGCCACATATACACGCACTTAATACTCACACAAAGTGCCCAATGAAAGTGCTGACAATAAGCAGAGGTGGTGCAAGGCAGGCCTCTTGAGGATTAGCTATGAAGGAAATGACAACTCAGAAAAAGTTGGGAGAGGAGGAGAAAAACCAATGCGGGGGTGAGAAGGGGGGCTGTTGCCTTGCTTCTTGGTCTTCAGACTGCTCGGTTCTCTGTCTTTATCTGCGAATGACCCGGCGCAATGTTCGGACTCTCCGGCGTCCTGTGGCTGTCGGAAAAGGGAGGCTGGGCCGACAGAGTCTGCGCACTAGCAGGGGCGGCCACAGGGAAACCTCGCGGGTTCAAAGTGCAGGCCGGAGGGGAGGAGCGCGAATGGCGTTACCCTGTGTATACGTAGCTTGCGGTTCTGCGCACAGCGGACGAACGGG